GAGGTACCTTGTCCACTATTTGATACGTGTTTTTCTGTAGTGACATGTCACATACTGTATATTTGGGCACTAAAATAGTGATGGCAGAGGCTTACAAGCAAGTGGGCACAAAGTACCAGGTGGTGAGAGCACAAGGAACAGGTGAAAGTCAAGGAAGGGGCACGATAAACTAGTCTGAAAGTCTGGAAATAGGCTGGTGGACATGGACCAGTGTGCACGCAGGGAGAGAAACAGGTGTGTAGGTGGGTGGCGTCTGCTGACAGGTGAGCTGGTGGGAGCGCGGCGACTCTGATGGACAGACCAAACACATGTGAAGGATGGTAGCTCTTGGGTAACATGTATGAAGAGGCCTGCGGAGCAGAGGGGCAGTTTGAACTAAGGGCCACAGCTGCAACCCCAGCACCATGCAACACGCTGTGTGAAGGGTTTATGTAGGAGAAAATAAAGACACCTTTCACTTTAACTGTATGTGTGGAAGTCAGTGTTGGCTGATTAATTTTTTGGAAGCACTAACAGACACCACATTTTGTCTTGTGGATCTGAGCAGTATATGAAATACACAGGGAAGCTTCTGTGTCTCCGACACATTGACTGTATGTGGTGTTTTAGCACTGATTTACTAATATATCAGTCAGCCTTTTGCCTTGTTTGCCCAAATAAGCTGTGCCACTTGCTGAAATGGGCCCAGCAGGTGGTCTTTCAAACATCTGTACTGAGTTGTAGTGTTTATGTGGCTTGATTGTACCGTTTCCACCCTGTGGACTGGAACAAAAGACTGAAAACATTTCTTTTCCTTGTCTCCTCACCCATGTGTTTATTCATACTTTCTTATGGTTTGGCAGACTCTGTCTCCTGTTTGTACAAATAACCTAATTTAGTTGTGAGAAATATTAGAGTCTGAATCAACAAGCACATTTGCAACTATCGCAGCAGCAGTTTGGTCATTGCTGCAAATAAATGGGCGATGCAAATAGTCCCATCAGTGCTGACAGAACCATAAAACAGAGAATAATTATATACAGCAGCTGCTTATCTTTTATTTGTGTTCAGTAATCAGTCGTTCCATATTCAATGTGGATGAGCTTCAGCACCTGCATGCTCTGCATATGTAGTTAATGTGCATCGTTCCATCCTGCAGGCTAATGGAGGACAAACAGAGCAGCAATGGAGGAAACTGACAAACTATGGATGATCTGGATTCAGCTGAGGTAAGAGCTCTGGAGGAAATGTGCTATTCATTTTCTATCTGAACTTGAACTGTCTTGGGACATGAGCAGGGTTTCCTGTTTTGAAAAATAACCCAAATCTAGTTTCTATTTTGCCGAAATGGCCCTCAGGCTCTGTGGAAATATATTCTGGAGTGCTAAATTAGCTACTGCAGGAATGAGACAAGCAGCTTTTCCTGTGTTCTCCTCTGAATCACACACTGGATGTATTTGTTGATTCTTAAATGCACACAGGACTGTTCAGAGCCCAAAGGTCATCACTTATTTTTATTACTTTTTTTTACAGCCTCTATTACTCATCCTTAGAGCGTGTCGATAATTCTAGTGGTCTGAGTCGCTTTATGTTCTGTAGATGTAACTCTAGCACCATTTAAAAAAAAAAAGTGACTTTTCTCCATTAAGACTTTATTATTATTCCTTCAGATTAGTGTGCATGTTAATCTGGAAGTTATTTGAATTCCTCCTTGCTAAAAAATAAATAAACTATATGAATCAGTCGAGGTGCATATCATACACCCTCCAAACCAAAACAACCACTTCTGTTCTAATTACGAGAAGAAACAATTTACTGATTGTGTACGGCCCTGGAGGAAGACAACATTATTACCTTCATCATTTTAATTATGTGTACTTAACCTCAGCAGCAAACTGTGTAGCACAGAGATGCTCGAGAGTCACACAGTGCAAGTCTCTAAAGTTCCCAGCTGAGTCTATTCCAACAGCATTTTTGATTTTTGAACTGTAGCCAGCCTGTTCACTGGATTAATACCTCGTCCCTCTGAGCGGCCACAGACCATCTGACGTGTCCCTTGGTAAATTCTGTGAACTTGCAGGTAAATATGCAGAGTGAATCTGAATACATACAGTAATGTAACGTCCAGGACAAACTGGAGGCAGAGTGGGGAAACAGTGGGGAGCAGCTGGCCCACTGAAGAAAAATGTCATTACTCTTGTTCACTTTCCTGTAAAGTGTTTGGATGTGAACCACAGTCAACCCTTTCTGGATCTGTACTACACCTGAATTAAAACAACAACTTTAATCAACTTTCAGCCCAAACAATCTGTAACAAAAGTTGCACTTGAGAAACAGCAGCTAAGCACTTTTCTAAGAAATCCGTCTCCTCGTGAGCTCGCCTTGTCTAGAGGTGGGAAGGGCAGCATGGACTATCTTTTTTCTTGCTGTCAGGTATCAGAGAAAGGCCACGACACTGCTGTCACAGACTCATCTGAATAAATGATTCATGGCGCTGGGGTGAAAAGCTGCAGAGGCATCGTTCATCACTCAGTGCTAAAAGTGATGCAGTGTTGCAAGGAGCAGATTGTGAAAGTGGACAGCAGGCAGAGAAGAAGATGGGTGGAGAATGGCAGAGGGAGTTGGTGAGAAGGACGACGTTTAATAACCTGACAAAACACATTTGAATTTAGTGCAGTAACATCCATTTGGAGACGCATTGTTTTCCCATGTATGGAGCAAAGTGCACGTTTGTCTGAAGTGTTGAAATGTCATTCATAAATAAATATCAAAGATATTCTGAAAAACACGACCGACAGGGGAAAGATTCCTGCAGGAAGTACACTGGCTGAAAACTTTTCCTCAAACAAAACTATACAAGAAATGCTGCTGGGGTGGCATGGTGACGTAGTGGTTAGCACTGTCACCTCACAGCAAAAAGGTTCCGGGTTCAAGCCCGGGTGACCTGGGACCTTTCTGTGTGGACCCTGCGGGGGTTCTCTCCGGGTACTTCGGCTTCCTCCCACAGTCCAACAACATACCGTATGGCTTAGGTTGACTGGAGACTAAATTGCCTGTAAGACTAAGTGTGTGTAGTTGTTTGTCTACATGTCAGCCCTATGATGGACTGGAGACCTGTCCTGGGTGGACCCTGCCTTTTCTGGCTAAGTAGTATAGATAATGGATGCATGGAAATGCTGCTGTTGGCAATTTTATTAGGCTAATGCTCCAAACTCTCTCCAGGTGTCTTCATTTAGGATTACTGCAGTGTCATCTTAAGGATGTGGGTCATGCAAACTCAGCAAACATGTGCATAACAAAGATCAGGCTTTTTTTTTAAACATGAGCACAGGTCTACAGCTGTGCTCATATCAGCAGTGGTGCTCTAGGCTACTGCGTTCACATGGTGATATTTGGCAGGTGTGTTTGACAAATGCCAAACTTTAGTGTGTTAGCATGCCAACATTTGCTATTTAGCACCTAACACAGTGTACAACTGAGGATGATGAGGGTGTCATTAGTTTCGCAGGTATTTGATCATAAGCCACAGGGTGTCAGGGTTAAAATGTTGACCTGACAAAGGTGCTAGATGAAAAGTTAGGGTTAGCAGCTACAGGGCAAATACACAGTAGAACTCAGAGTTGCTATGAAGACTGTCTTCACCAGAAAGACATTGGCAGTGGTTTGTTCACACAAGTCAAGTTCGGTTTGTACAGGCCAGTATCACAGATTTGCCTCAAGGGGCTTTACAGTCTACAGAATGTAACCCCCTCTGTGATTAGACCCTGGAACTGAAGAAGAAACCCCCCCCCACCAATAAATCCTGGCTACCTAAACATACCTTTGTCTATCTGGTCCTGACAAGTCAGTTCTCTAAGTCATGAGAGTACTGTGAAGATAGAAATAATGTGACACGGCAGAGGGTCGAGGTGGACAGTTAGGGCTGCAGACTCTGAGACCCGGCGCAATGATTCAGGTCCAATTTCTTATTGACAGTCAGCATTTAGCTAATCATAATGATAACTAGTGCATTGTAACATAACCCGCATGAATCTAAGCAGGTCTTAATCAGGAGGTGGTGGATCAGAAAACTGTCATGAGTCATTTTAAGAGTGGGCATATGAGTTTGGGACAACAGCTACATAAGAGCTTGTTGGGCAGTTGACAGAGCAGTACAGTAAGTAGGCAAAAGGATGGATCATTTAGCTGCTGCATGTTGTAAAATGTAAGACAGAAGTAAAGAAAAACAAAGAACCTCACCCTTGACTGGAGGAGTGAGGCGATACATGAACCCTTTACTGCCAAGGCTGGTTTGACTTGCATCAAGGATGAAATGTGGCAGTGGAGTCCCCCAGCATGCTCCAGAAAATAAACATCTCCTCAGTCAAGTATGTAAAAATATCCACAGTCCAAATACTCTGTACTCTGGGCCCCCGTCAAATTCACTTCTACTGTTGCTCTACATTGTTTAATCACATACCTGAATTACACCTGGATGGTAAGGACGAGGGAAGACAAAGACGCTGGAGGTTTTGGGGGCTGAGAACTGCGTCGGCTGTGGCTGAGCAATTTATGTGCTCTATTATAGAGAACCAGACCGATCCCTCTGCTGTCTGTCTGACTGTCTTTTTAATTGTCTCCCTTTATTTTTATGCAGATAAACAGTGTTCCTGTCTCCTCTGTTCGAACTGGTCTCACTCTCTTACAGATATTTCCATGCCCCAGAAAGCATCAGTATGCAGGGTGCAAAAAGAGGAGCTGGGTGTATGAATTTAAATGTCAAGAGCACTTGCATAGGCAGCTGGCTCTGCAGATTTGTGGTGTGCACAGTGTTGTAGCTGTTGATTTCCATGTTTGTGTTGTGGGGGAGGTGCAGACGCTCGCCTGTCTGCTCTCAATTTGTTGCTTCAATTTAGTCTCTGTTTCCTTC